TGGCCATGTTAATGACTGCCTTTGCTGCAGTCAATAACAGTTATTATTATTTAATATGTAATTCCTGGCCATTCGATGAAAATTGGAATATTTAGTTTTGAGATATTGGTGGAAAAGTTGGCCGTTATTGTTATATTTTAAATTAGCTTTGATAATCTAATGTATCAATTAATTCCAGTAGTTCCCACCCCTGGGCCTTTGCAGCTTGTCCTAATCACGGGGGTGGGGCTATTGCCGATATTTTTTAGCCCTGGGGTGAGGATTTTGACATTTTCCATCATGGGGGATTTGGTAGATTTGCTGGAAAACTTATATTTAATTTGATTGCAAATGGCTTGTGGACATAGCCATTTTCTTCCCAGGGGGGATGGGCACTGCTGGAATTGACTGATACGTAATTAACAATCGCTATTTTGATTGGTTGTTATTTTTTGCATCCCAATCACTGTCCACTTTTTATTGACTTCAGTAACAGGCTTACCCTACGAGCAAAGTCCTCTCATATTTCTTCTCAGCACGTGAGAGACTCTGCAGAACTTGTGTATGTTCTTTGTGGAGCCGACAATCCAAAAACTTGGATAATTATGAGTAATTTCAGGTTTGATACCAGTTTTATAACCGGTTTTGATCCGAACCGGAAACTACTTATTAAATCTTCTTCTGGGAAATAGGTAGTTGCTTAGCAACCTTCGCGCATACTCAAGTGAATTTATACACAAGTTCTGCAGAGTCTCTCTCGCTTCTCTGTGCCGTGCCGAGAAAAAATACGAGAGGACTTTGCTCACAGGGTATAACAGGCTCTATTTCAAGCATCGAGCCTGACACGCAAGCTACCTTCAAAGGGCCTATTTGGCAACTTCTGTTGTGGTTACCCAGCCTGAGGCAAAAGTAATAAATTCTGAATTGTTATAAATGTTCTGTGAAGTGCACATATTTTTCCTGCAGTTAGGGACCAGTCCTTATTTATGGAAGAGGGAGGGGGAGGCAAAAGGTGGGGCCATGACCCCATGAGTATAAATAATTTACTAGAAGGGGGGGGTGGCATTAAATTTTTTGAGAAAATCAGTTGAAGGGTCAAAATGTGGAGTTGCAATAAATTTGTTTAAGCCTGGTTTCCAGTGTCCTCGAAGTTGGCCTAAGCCAGATAAATCCAATAAATGATATCAACCTCGTACCCAGGGCTTCTGCGCTTTTACACTGCTCTCAGAAGAGAGAGCAATAAGCGCAGAAGCCCTGCGCAGAAGACCTTATTTTAATAGTCCCAGCGACTAAACGCTCAACAGGCGTCTTGTTGTTCTGAAGTTTGGGATGTATTTGGGGAAATACAATCTAAACGACTACAAAAGCTCCAAAACAGAGCTGCTCGAACTATTTCAAATATGAGCAATGATGTAGATCATTCTATTGCTTTATGTGCCTTAGGGTGGAAACCACTTCATATCATGAGAAAAAAGGCAAAAGCAACAATGATGTACAAAACTCTAAATGGGATAGGCCCCGAATCTCTCACAAACCTCTTTACTTATAAAAATGAGATAACAAATTATAGACTCAGAAGTATTTCAAGTGGCCTTTGTCTGCCACAACTACGCACCAATAGCATGAAAAATAGTTTCATGTATGATGGTGCTAAGCTATGGAACTCTATTCCAAATGAAATTAGGGAAAGCAAATCTCTGTCATGCTTTCAAAAAAATATTGCTGCTCACATTTTCTAAATAAATATACCAATAGTTCTACCATTCGTAAATAACTATTATACTATTTCTATACTATTTGTACTTCTTAATACTATTTCTACTATTTGTAAATAACTATTATACTATTTTTATACTATTTGTACTTCTTAATACTATTTCTACTATTTGTAAATAACTATTAATGTAACTACGTTTCACTACTGTAATTTCTTTCCTATTACTGTAATTTTCTTCGTACACGCCCCCTGTGGAAATCAGCTTCGGTTGACAGGGTTAGCGTGGGTAAATAAAGTTTTTCTATCTTCTATCTATCTATCTACTTTTGAACAAAGGTAGTTCGCTACTGACTACAGCTACTGCTTTAAAAATGTAGCGACTATTTCACTATTTCGCTACGCTATATTCAGGCTGAAATGTAACCTATAACAAATCGACTTACGAGTAGCAACAGTAAACACAAAGCAACATTTTTGTAAGCACTACAGTATAAATAAGTTCTTTGTATGATTGCATGGCGATAAAATATATAATACTTTTGTTTGTGGAAACACCACGTAAATTTATTACTGCAAAGCTTTCGATCCGTAAGCCCGGATCTTCATCAGTGCTAGCACAGAGTAGATAAGACATACAGAGACGTAACTGACCGTTGTAAACACTGCGGAAGATTACGTTATCATGTACCCACTTTTTTCAGGCGATCGGGCGAAAAATGATCAACTGCGCGTGCTCAGCAAGTTTAAAGTGAGTCGTCATCAGGTCGTCATCCAATCAGATGCATGCATCTAGTAACTTGCCGAGCATGCGCACACAAAAAGTGGGTACACTAGTTACGTCTCTGTATGTCTCTACTCTGTGGTGCTAGTGATATGTGACTTCTTTTCACGCTCTTTTTACATGTCGTGATCTGTTGGCTCGCGTCATTTGAAATTTAATTAAATGGCATGACTTGGAATGACATGGTTGATGTACTGTTTAATAAACGAGCAGGAGTGTTTTATTAGGTTTAAAGCCACGAGCGCGCAGCGCGAGTGGCTTTAGACCTACTGATAAAACACGACCTGCGAGTTTATTAAACGGCTTCAAACACGACCAGAAATTCAATAGAAATACTGCTGTATTAGTATTCTTTATATAAAGAATACTAATGAGGACACGACTACAATAGATACTGCCTTATTAGTATTCTTTATATAAAGAATACTAATTAGGAGTGTTTTATCAGGTTTGCGAGCCAACAGATCACGATACTTTTGCATATAAAAAGAGCGTGAAAACAAGTCACATATCACTAGCACTGATGAGGCTTACGGATCGAAAGCTTTGCAGTAATAAATTTACGTGGTGTTTCCACAAACAACAGTATTATAAGCACTACAGTGTTCAAGAGTGCAAATTGACTGTTGAGTATTGATTTTATGCAAACCGTGTCTCAATATCATACTATTCTATCAAGTTGCTAACAATTTTAAAAAGTAGCGAATAGCGATTCGCTGTTTGAAAAGTAGTCAACTACTTGGCTACTTTTAGGCAAAATGTAGTTCGCTATAACTACAGCTACTGTTTTAAAAAACGTAGTCAAAAACTACTGGCTACTTCAAAATTGTAGTTCGCTACAGTAGCGAACTACAACTACTTCGCTACTACCCACCCTTGATTATACCAAACTGATAGACAACAATCGAGATAAAATTCGCTTGGTGCAATGACAGTTTTCATTTTACTGCGAAATGTGATAAGAGAAGAGAAAACAAGATAGGGCATTAAGGCGTAGAACACAGAAATATCGCTTTCTAAAAATTCAGTATATATAGTTAAGACCAGCCAGAAATCAATAGACCATACAATGAATACAAAATGCACCAAAACAACTGCATCGTTAAATAAACTGACTAATGAGATTCCCCGTACTTATAGCATCATGCATGCAAAGCATTCTGGTCGGTTAACAGCAAAGCATTCTGGTCGGTTAACAGCAATGCATTCTGGTCGGTTAACAGCAGTGCATTCTGGTTGGAGAATCGGAAGTAAAATCTTACTTTCAGACCCCAATACGAATTAGAACTGCTGACTTGCTCGCTCGCTTCAGGCTCGCTCGCTGCGTCAGCAATTATGCAAAGATGAACAATACCGGCATTAGTATTTTTGCGCAAGTGAATAAATATATAACAAATCCTACAAGTTGTCAAGAGCAATAATACTTATAGTTTCTCAATATTTTGTATTTGCCAAGATACTTTTGTCACAATTGTTTCTATAAATGTATTATCTATATGATAAAGAAGAAGTTCTGCAGTATAAACTGTACTATACATACTATAAATACAAATATTATAATAAAATTTAAATATTAAATAAAAAATATTACTGAGATAATCCTGTTATCGTACAGGTTATATCTATGAAATTGCACTGGTATACCTAGTATATAACTGATAGTATTTTTTACCTTGAATATATCATGCATATGCATGCAGTGTAGCACGCTTTTCAGCAGCAAATTTTCGTTCTCTGTTTAGATTTTAATATAATTATACGAAAATCTTAAAAATAGTATAATTTCAAAATCGAAAGTCCAAAATCGAAAGTCCAAAGTCCATAGTCCAAAGTCCAGTCCAGTGTTTACAATATGACAAACAAACTTTCGTATAGATGCAGCCTAGTCCCAGGCTCTCTCTCTATTCGCAGCTTTGATATATTTAAATAAGTGTTAAAAGTTTTATGCCTGGGTGTGCTGTGCGGAACGCTTCAGCGAGAGAGCCTAGCAGATTTCGGTAAAATGGTCCCTGATTTCAAAAAAGTGGTCCCTGGCCAGGTTACCAAGCATACCTCATTTGTAAATGGAAAATGTTATGGAAATTTCCTTTGCATTTATAATTAAGTCATTAGTTTTGCTCTAATGCTGTCGGAACAATGAAGTAGGCTACGTTTCGCGGCCATACGGTCAGAATGGAATAACGGGCTAAATATGACTCGTGTTTACTAAAATATATAGCCATATTAAGTGCTATCTAGAAGCTTGAAAATTATGCCGAGTCTCCGACTAAGAATGTTTTGACAACACCGTCATGTCAGACAAATATTTCCAATATCCTCAGCAATTTAAACCTGTCAAGTAGAAAGCGTAGTTGTGTATACCAGTATGGTCTAGTGTTGATCACAACTTGCGAGTACATAAATAACATCAACGATTGCTCAAACTCGGTATCGTAAACTGTATATAATTTTTTTTAGTTGAGCACATTTTTAATACAGTGTGATTTGGTTATGTAGACATCGAACATGTACATGATGAACGAACATTGTCTTATTTATAATTAAAAGCATGGGCGTACCGGAAGGAAAAAATTAGGGGGGCGGAAAGAAAATTGCCCGACTTTTCGTAAAATTGCCCGACTTTTCGTGATTTTGCCCGACTAGTACCAAAAAATTTTTCCCGGAAAATTTTTTTTGGCGACCCCCCCCCCGTCGCCAAAAAAATTTCGGTCAGTGTACCATTTTAGGGGTCAAAAAAATTTTCCGGACGTACCAAATTTTTCGCAGAATCACATTAATTTTCCCAAAAAATACATTTGCCCCAAAATTGACTAAATTTTTGAAAAAAATTACAGAATTTGTCCGATTTTTTTTTATAACAACCCAAAATTGCCCGACTATTAATCGAATATTGCCCGACTGCCCAAAAAACTGGGGGGGCGGCCGCCCCCCCCGCCCCCCCGCCCGGTACGCCTATGATTAAAAGGTTACTTGTATCTATAAATTTTCCGCCATATTAAAAATACTGAAATCTGCTAGGCGTTCTGAAGCACCTTGAGCGGTGACGTCACACCAAGGTCCTAGTCTCGTACTACCTCCATTTTTTTCTCGCGCTTGCTTCAGAACGACTGGGACTAGGCTGGTATAGATGCATGAATCTTAAAATAAAGTATAAACGTGCTGACGTCTTGACAAACAATAGCAGTTTATGATTCCTCAAGAAAATTATTGAACACCCAGGAAATTTCGTGTATTTGTAATTTTCTAATAAAATTACCATTAATAATCAGGTGACCTTTTCAACAGTATGCCATGCAGCTATTTCATTGGGCAATTCCAGCTACAGACTAAATTTTGATGTAGGCAAGACGAACAAAATCCGTCACCACAGCTAGAAAGAACATGTTAAAATTAGTAAAATTGCAAAGTTTGGCCGCGAAATCTTGTAAAATGCGGAAAATATAGCCCTGCGAAATTTGCAAATTTTGTATTAATTTGTATTTAATACGCACGGGAATTTGCACCACTTTCGGCCCGAATGTGGTGCATTTTCCCGCGCGTAATACAAATTAATACAAAATTTGCAAATTTCGTAGGGCTATATTTTCCTCATTTCCTCATGATTAAAAAAAATCTTTCTATCTATCAACTGTATCTTTATTCATAACTCATGTTTTCTGCCTTTAGAAATACACTTATACAAGCCCCAAGGTGGAAGCTAATGTGAGTTCAAAAAGCTCCAACATTCTATTACTTGTGAAATATTGCATATATTCCATCTACTTTCAAACCACTATTGTAGAACCCCTGTAAGTTGCTGATCTGCGCAAAGCTTCTGTTCTTGGTCGAGGGATGATTAAATTGTTCCATCCTCTTAACGCGTATTCCGCATTTCTTTTGCTAAATAGTCTGTTTTGCAGTCCGAATTAAGTGATCTATATATGTACAAATGTTATTATTTTAGTATTGTATGCCATGACATAGTTCTCCACTTAGGTTTGGATAGAACATTGTTAATTGCGGTGCCCAAAGTTTGGCACCGCATTATATTCTGCCTGTGAGTTTGTCCGTTTGTTTGTTAGTTTGTTCGTATCAATACGTTTCCTTAATCGCCTAGTAAAAATTCCTTGCACGTGCTCGAAATTTATTCATTTTTGCAGGAAAATTAATCTATCTTGTACTCTCAGGATCGACTGTTTGCTAGGGCTAAGGCTTTATCTCTAGTTTTATGGGCCAAACAAGGACAACAATACCACTGTTCGAATCAGCGTGAAAAGTTGTATTTATGGATGGAAAAGTTGTATTTATGGATGGAAAATTGATTTCAATATTGATTTCTATTCTAGCTATTTATGGCCTTTTAAAGACAAGCCACTCTGAAATAATCCTTCACGTTTTCCGAATTCCTTTTTTCGAGGAAAGTTTTCTTTTCTATTTTAATCTCGGACTCTCACGATAGACTTTTTGCTGCGCCTTATCTCTGGTTTTATGCGCCCAATAAGGAGAAAAATACCACCGTTCGATTCAGCGTAAGAAATAATTGTACTTATGGATGTCAAATGTATTACTAAACAACAGAATTCTAGCGATTTATGGCCTTTGAAAGTCAAGCGAGATTGCATTGTCGACAAATCGCTCAAAATTATTAAACTAATTAAAAATGCAGTAGTTCGATTCTTGATAACTTTCGTATCGTTGGTTTTCTCGTTTTCGGCCGTATACCAGTGGATTCGTCTCATTTTTCTCTTCTTTTTGATAGTATTTTGAGCCAACTATTTTATTTTGAAGGTTTTAAAGTACAGTTTTAATAAGCGAAATTGTATTGTTGACAATTGTATTTTATTTTGAAGGTTTCAAAGTACAGTTTTAATAGGCGAAATTGTATTGTTGACAATTGTATTGTTGTACAATTGTATTGTTTGACCCTTGATAACTTTGGTATCATTAGTTTTCTCTTTTCGGCCGTAAACCAGTATATTCATCACAATTTCTCTTCATTTTGATAGTATTTTGAGCCCAAAATATTTTATTTTGAAGGTTTTAAAGCGCAGTTTTGATCCTAATTTATGGACCAACCGGCGGCCGACAGGAGAATGTAGCGTACTAAATATCACTTTACTTGTAGGCGGAAACGCCGGAAGTTTTATTTGTAGGCGGGCACCGCATTTTAGTACTGTGTCTGGTTATGAGTAGTTTTCTCAAACTTATTATGTTCTATTTTAAATAGTTATTAATATAATCAACCATGGATGACGGTGGGCTGAAAGTTGATGCGAATTTGGAAACTCCTCCAAAAGAAAATAAAGAGCTGTCTGTATTGCAGGCGATTATTGACAACAGTAGCTGCGATGTTAGCACTCAAACTATTAATATAAGTTCTGACAGTTGTGTTACGCAATTCACTGCACCTGCAGATATACTCAATCAAGGGGTAAATATCTCGAACAGGCCTAGCAGTAGAAGTAAAAGGTCGTCTTTCAGATTGTTCATTGTACCAGACGATCCTGACAGTGATGCGTTTCACGACTCAGGGCTACGATTATCTTTTGACAAAGAACGCCATGGGAGTAATGGCCAGTCACTGCGTTTCTCCGTAACATCGAATGAATGGAATGAATAAATTGAAACTACAGAACCTTTGTATGATTCTAAGAATATCAGAAAAACCAAAAGAAGTAACAATACATTTAAACAGAACGAACGCACCAGGAAAGGTACGGCTTCATCTGTCAGTTTAGAGAAAGGCAATAGTGATGAACCGATCGACCACCAACTCATACATTCTATAAATCCTAGTGTACTTGCTTGGTTAAAGTTAAAGAATTTTGAAGAGCGTGAAAAGCGAAGGCTTAAGAAGCAGGAAAGGAAGGAGCTAAGGCGGCATGCATATGAAGAAGTTGAAAAAAGACAAAAGCGCATTGAGGAAAGTGAAAAGCAGTTTGCACAGTGGTTGATTGCTAAGAAGAAAGAAGCAAGGCGTGTATGGAGAGAAAAACGCGCGAGGAAAAGAGTGGATACGGTGGAAAATGAAGACACAATTAGGAAGGACAACGATACTCCTCCTAACTACATCGTTGTCCCAACGTTTAAAGGTGTCCAAGCGTGGGTGGGAGAAGAGGAGGTTTCACTTAATAATGGAAAAACAAGTAAAAGGTTGCAGGCACAACTGAAAACCTATAATCCAGAACAGTCTCCCAATGATAATGTAGCAGAAAATGATCCATCAGACCAGGCTAGTTTGGATAAAGACAATGGTGAACACTATAACAAAAGACCTGCAACTGCTCATAGTAGGCTACTGTCAGTTAATGGTAGGAATAGTAAACTCTCAAAGAGAAATACCCAAGAGAAATGGCCGAAACAGGAAAGCAATTACAATAAAAGACCCGGTACATCGGGCGGACTACCTACAAGTAGCACGGATACTATGGTTGATAAAGAAATAAAAGGGATAACCCATGAAGCGTGGGTGGTGCAGAAACGAAAAGAAGAGAAATCGAAAAGGCCAAAAACTGCGCATGCATCACACCTCAATTTTGAAGATGGTCAAAAACCCACCAAAAAATCGATCACGTTTGAAGCATGGAAGGTACAAAAGCGACAAGAAAGCAAAAAGAAAGCGAAACTGAAGAAACGAGAAGTCGTCGATGATACTCTCACTGAAGCAATAATAAAAACTGCGAGGAAAAGAGTAGAAAATTCATGCAAAGAGAAACGACGGCTGGATACAGGCATGCCAAAGTGGCAAGCTAGAAATAGAGTAAGAACTAGTGGCGCAGAGAAAAACGCCAGCATTTCAAATACGCCTCATAGTAAGTACGCAGTAATTCAATTGGTGGGGAATGAACAGGATAATCATGAAACGCAAGAAGCAAGTACTCAGGCAAAAGAAGTTGCAGCATTACGGAAATCCTGTGCAAATTTAAAGTTGCACTGAAATGTATTGGTTAAAAAACAAGCAAATGATTTCCACCGTGTGCTATACCATCTCTTCACCGTGATCAACTACAGTATACACAAAGTCAAATCTTTGTAACTGTGACGTTACTCTCAAGCTAAAATTTGGAGTAACAACAATTCATGAAAAGGGAAGAAGACGGCCATGTACATGTAGTCGCGAAATCCTGTCGAAATCAGGCGAAAAGAAAGGCTAAAACCTAACTTGACGATTATCAGGCCAACCAAGAAGCAGACCTGTACAAGGTACGGGCAAACTGGAACCACATAGGATTAATCCTCATTTATCTAAGGGCCTGTTTACATGGAGGTAGGTTGCCCTATCAGGAGGGCAAGGGTGGAAAAATATTTTACTTTCTGGAACCGCAAAAGAACATTACAAATCCTTGGAATTAATATCCCAACAAGACGGATCATTCTGGAGTGTAATTCCCAATAGTTTCATGTCTTGCGTTCAATACCTGCCATTGGTGGAGGATTTGCTGATTTGCCACTTACAATCATTTCCCATGTTTTAGCTAGATTCAATGTCATTCTTTTACTTTCCGTCCATTTTTCAATATTGCCCACTCCAGAATCATAATTATCTTTAACCGGGGCACTAACAGTCATGTCATCTGCAAATTTGACTAGTATCCTGATAATCCTGATAATATAATATATTATCAGGATTTTTGGCTGTTAGATCATATATCATTAAAGAAAATAAAAATGGTCCAAGGACTGTGTCTTGCGGTACTCCACATAATTTGTTGTATTCCGTTAACTGTAACTATTTGTCTCCTATCAGTAAAAAAATTGCAACCATTTGAATATATATGGATTAATGTTGGTTTCTTTCAGTTAAGAAAGCCTTCGATTCCGTTTCTCACAACATTACTTGTAAGAACATCAAATGAAATCACCCTGACATGGTCGGCATTGCCATCCAACCAGTTTAGCCATATTATATACATATAGAATCATAAATTCCTTTATTGATTATTATTTTCTTCGGTACTATGCTATTGATTATTTTGGTTGCTATATTCATTTTTGGTGGGATCAGAATGCCAGCATTAAAATTTTATCGATGATTTCTTAAACGCATTAAAGTTGTTTTTTATTTGCGACAGCAAAACACTGAACTGGCTCGTCTTTCATATAGCCTTGCACAATCACTATCATACAGCTGAGATGGAGGTCTATCGGCAGTCTTGTATTCAGTGCAAATAAATAAAATACATTTGAAGTTAACCATCATCTGCTGCCCCGTAACCCTTACTGCATGAAGCCAACCACTATTATACGTATGCAAGGCTACATGAAGAACACACCAACGAGAGAAACTCATGATTTTTGTAAGTTGTAATGGCACAAATGCCAAATGGTGTGGTTTGGAAATTTAAAATGGGCAACACATTTCTCGTAACTATAGTTTAAAGTAATGCTGACATCTAAAATCGTTCCAATAAATTAATTTAGCCGTATACATGCAAACACGAATATTGTGGTATACTAAAACTAAGGTGTTTAGTCCGTCGTTCCATTTAAATACACTAGTCTACAAGACCAATAATAACTGCGTTAAAATCCGACATCACGGTCCTATTATCAATGATGAAACCGCGAACAGTAAAAAAACGACACCACCAATAAGAGTAACTATAAAAAGAGCAGAAAATATTCACTTGTGAACGTCAATGAAATGTTTGCATGATTCGTTATTATGAAAGTACTGTACGCTTATTATGAAAGTACTGTACTGAAAGGACGGGACTAGCTAACAGTCGTGGGTCGTGGGTCGTGGGTAGAATGTCGTGGGTAAAAAGTCGTGGGTCGTGGGTAAAAAGGCGTGGGTCGTGGGTAAAAAGGCGTGGGTCGTGGGTAAAAAGGCGTGGGTCGTGGGTAAAAAGGCGTGGGTCGTGGGTTAAAAGGCGTGGGTCGTGGGTAAAAAGGCGTGGGTCGTGGGTAAAAAGGCGTGGGTCGTGGGTAAAAAGGCGTGGGTCGTGGGTAGGCGTGGGTCGTGGGTAAAAAGGCGTGGGTCCCGAATACAAAGTCGTGAGTTCCAAGCAAAGTATTTCCATACATTTACCTTTCTACCTTTCTTTGGAATGCGTGTTTTTTTCTTCTGAGGCTTTCCCAAACTATGCCCAAATATGCATAGTCTTAGAGCGCGTTAAGGCCGGGTTTTTGATATCGGTAGATCGGTTTAAATATATTATAACCAAGTGTGGATGAAACAGTTCAACTTCACGCCCCATATAGCTCAAATATTTGGACGTTATAATCTTATAGACAGAAAAATTAGTTACTGCAATTCGTCAATAAGAATATGGCTCAAGGCCACATGTACGAAAGCTGAGTAGCACTAGTGATCCACTCGATATTATAGTCAAATTTTTATAACCGGCAATGGCATCACATGTTTTCAGAGCTATATATGAAATTGCGGAGTATAGCTACAGGGACCGCGGAGACGGGGGGGGGCTGGGGGGGGCTTTAGCCCCCCCACTTTTTTTGACAGCCAAAATTATTAAAATAGAAATCTAAATGAAACTTTCTAAATTAATAAACCTCACCCTTTAGCCCCCCCACTCTCTAATACGCGGGCCCTGAGCTAACCATTTAATTAATGAAATAATATGTCATTTGACTTATATATGGTCTTCATGTATATACTATACAAAGAATTCGAAGATCGCCGGTCTGGAAAATAGTGATGCATCGATATCCATATCAGTAATTTTGTTGTTGATATTACCGACATCGTCGTAAACATTACAAGAAAATATATCTCTAGACCAACCAATGTTGCTGTTATTTAAAACTGCTGAAGTCTATCCTAAACGATTTCTGAAATAGCGTAAACTACAAACGGAACAAACCTTGCATGTAAACAATGCTACTCGGTAACTCGGGCTGTTATTAAATAAGCGCTGTGAAATTTCCAAATTCCAACTTGCCATTGACTTCGCTGAAACTTGATGCTCAAGAAATATGTAGAAGTATACCTCTCTGTTATCAAACCTACGGTAAAATAATCCGACAAAAGCCTACTGAAAGATAAGTCAAAGCATGAATGTTACAAATACTGTATGTGTCACTATGTGACTGTATATTTGTAACTTATCTGTTTGACATTAGAAAATACAAATCACATAATAAATTTGACACTAGATTCACTACTGCAACATCATGGTTAGATACTAAGTACGTATTTAAGTGACATCTCTCAAATGCTTTCTTTTATTTTTCCCTAGTAAATTAACATGCAGACATTGCATTAAATTAACACTGTCCAAGTGGAAATTTCTGGCTTATTACTGTAAGAACATCGATCAACAAATTAGCGAAGCCCTGAATGTCAGAATTTAGCTATTTATGACAGGCTTGACAGCACTATTTCCTATTGAAGAATTACAATATTTATCTGTCTATAAGATTATAATGTCCAAATATTTGAGCTATATGGGGCTTGAAGTTGAACTGTTTCATCCACACTTGGTTATAATATTTATAAACCGATCTGCCGATATAAAAAACCCGGCCTTAACGCGCTCTAAGCTATGCATATTTGGGCATAGTTTGGGAAAGCCTCAGAATAAAAAAAAAACACGCATTCCAAAGGGAGAAAGGTAAATATATGGAAATATTTTGCTTGGAACCCACGACTTTTTATTCGGAACCCACGACTTTTTACCCACGACCCACGCCTTTTTACCCACGACCCACGCCTTTTTACCCACGACATTCTACCCACGACCCACGACCCACGACTGTTAGCTAGTCCCCTGGCAGACATGCAGTGAACAAGATCTAGTCGCCAAATTTCATACCAGGTCGCCTTATATCAATGAAAACTTATTGATCAATAATAACCTATATATATATATATATATATATATATATATATATATATATATATATATATATATATATATATATATATATATATATATATATATATATATAGATATATATAAATACATGCATATACTAGAAATACATGCATGCAGCAACCCCTCGTCTATATTTTCCGAACATTGAATTAACATGAACACAGGCTCGTGTTTCTGTCAAGTGTTTCCATGGCAACACGATACTATGAATTTTAATTTTTTTGTACAAAACGGCAAAAATAGTTTAACGATTAGTACTTTTAACTGTACAACAATGAATGTCCGAAATATGCACTGTGGGTATGTTATTTGCGAGCTTTGATTTAATGTAAGATTTAACTTAAATATAGCTTTCTTATAATTAAAATGTTTTGAAATGTTCATTCAACTAAACTACATTTGCCGATTAACTGTTTTACTTAAATGAAACATAATAAGTTCAAATTGTTGGGTTATTTCAGTTCCGTTAGCGTTTTCAAAATTAAACAGGGTAATTTAGGAAACTTACAGATTCGTTAGAAAGGAAAACAGTCATGTTTTAGGCAAAAAAGTTAATTAAATCAATTCTTCTCATGTCTTCAAACAAAAATTGCTTCAAAGCTCGTTGTATATGAAACGATTTTCCAAATGTATGTCTTTGAAAATTGAAATCTTGCTAATCCCACTCCTGGCAAGCAGCCATATTTTTTAGGTCCACCAAACATCATGAACATCAAGGAGGTCCACCAAACATCATGAACCTTGACACCACTTTAGACTTCGCTAATGCTTTCCTTTTCCCGGGTGTAAATAGTCGGGCGGAATTAGTACCCTCGCCTGCGTGAAAGTTACATCTAAACTCCTTTACACCGGCTGATAGTTTCAGCAAACTAATGTTATTCCGAACTGAAAAAGTATGCATTTTAACAACACATCTATTTTAAAAACTGTATATGTACTGTAGATTCGAAATATGCAATTTTTAAAATAGATGTGTTGTTACAATGTCAATGCATATACTTTTCTTGGAATAACATTTGTTTTATTTCTAAACGCGATGTTAAAAAGACGACTTACCAGATTTTACAGAAATCTTTTGAGCGATAAGTCTACCGCCAATAACAGCTAACCCCGTACACAAAGCATGTCCTAACGTTCCACCTAGCGTTACGCCAAGCACATCCTAAAACACAAAAGTAAAATTCATGAAGCCAACTCTTTCATGTGCTTATATGCATGCTCATGCGTTTCTGTACTCATGGTAGTCCGGGAGATTTACAGGTAGGAAAATCAACGGAAACTCGCAGGATTGAGACTAGATACAAGAGTGAGAAGAAAATTTTTTGGACTTGTTTGGTAGCATATATAAATTTAACCAATGTGGCAGCACTTCCTTAAACTTTTGTGCCTCAAATATCATGCAATATATAGCCCATATAGCTTAATTTGACCTACCAATGCTTACAGACTTGCAAAACGTACAGGTTGTCCGCCTATACGGTTGCATGTCTGAAAAATAGGCACTCGAGGAGTGCGTATCTAAGGATTTGCAATTTTGTTGTCAATTTTATTTAAAACACAACATCATGGCATATCTTGTTTTGTTTGAATGTCAAATTCTGTTTAATTACTCTTATATTTAAAGTTAGTCTACTACAACTTTTGTTGGCTTTATCATTGCCTGAAAGATAAAAGAAAAACTCAATTTGTAGAAATGTTGAAGATATTTTATAATTTAACGTTTGGATAACC